CTCAATAAGGGTTTTTAGTCAAAATTTTAAAATTATTTAGGGCTTCATGGGGAGCCCAGGTTGTGGGAGTTGTCAGTTTTTTAAAAATAGAAGGTAGTGGGTTTGATCGAAGGGGAGAGTAACCCAATTCCTTGAATCAAGAGCTTTCAACAGCAGCATTGTATCCCCCCTCTCCCTCCCTTTGAAGGAAAGGGAGGGTGATTGTTACTTTGGGGTTTTACCCTGCCAAGGTAGGTAGGTCACCCTGCCAAGGTGCATCATCACCCTGCAATGTGGGCCATGCTGCCTAGGTAGGCTACCCTGTCTAGGTGGGCCACCTGTCTAGGTGGGCTCCCCTGCCTAGGTGAGTCCCCCTGCCTAGGTGAGTCACCCTGCTTAGGTGATTCACCCTGCCTAGGTGGGTTTTTCTGCAGAGTTGGAAAAATGACATTTAAAAAAAAAAATTATTCCCATCACTTTTGCAATTCAATGAGTCTGCCAGAGACAGTCATGCAGAGCAGAGTGACCCAGCACTGCATCATGTCACCTTAACAAAATCTCCCCCTAACACATCCAAACATCAGCTAAATATATGAAAACTATATATCCATATTCTGTCACTAACTTATGAAAAACAATATAATGTTATTCTTAATATCTGTAATCCTACAACCATTAAAACAGAATGTGTCCACATTATGTTAAAATTGTTATGTCTAGTTTCAAGTTGTGTTTTAAACACTAGTACAGTGGAACCTCTACTTGCAAGCGTGTCCACGTGCGAGTTTTTCCAAAAAACGAGCAGTCGATGGGTCGATTTTTGCTTCCATAGGCGAGCAAAATTTCCCCAAGCGAGCAAACCTCAAGGCAGGTTCCTTGACACTGGTGAGGGGGCTCTTGCTCTTGATCCCCGGGAATTGTATCTCATTTTTTGTTGGACTTCTTATTGAAACTTGGGAATGTATGATGGAAAGATGCTTTTAAAAATACACCAAAAAAGAAAGAAATCTAAGTATAAATAATGGATTTTAATTCTCAGCAATTAGCCACCCCTTAGTGGTAATTTCGAATGGTTTTTATGGTTGTATCTCTTTTTTTTTGGTCTCATTTGATAGAATGGAAGATATATTACAGAAATTGATATGATTTTGATTGCTTTCACAATGAAAGTACCTTGAAATAGAGCTCAACCTAGGAGAAATGGTCCATTGCTTGGCTGTTTCAGAGTAAACAAATCACGTCATGTCCATTCCAACATGTAGTCGTGAATGAGTTGACATTATTTATACAATTACTGCAATAAGGAATAACAGTAAATCTTATATTTTTTTTGTGGGAAAAAAGTTACAAATTATTTATATAATAATAATAATAATAATAATAATAATAATGAAAGAAATCTAAACACAAATAATGGAGTTCACTTCTCAGCAATTAGCCCCCCCCTAATGGACATACTTTATTCATTCTAGAGTATATATCGTGGTTTCTATGTTATTCATATTGTTTGTTATGTCATACTAGATGAACTGTGATAGATAAATAAGCAGTATAGATGATATTAGCAAAATTATTCATTAAGTATTTTGCCTGGTGTCCAGACAAACCTCGTCCACCGCCGACACCGCCCATACCACTACATGAATGACATATTTAATTCTTTTTAGAGTATATATCAGGTTTCTATGTTATTTATATTGTTTATTATGTCACAGCAGATGAAGTGAAATGTTTAAATAAGCCGTAGAGTTAAATATTAGCGAAATTTATTGAAGTACAGAATTCCACTGGAACAGTTTTAATTGCATTTCAACTAATTTAAATGAGGAAAATTGACTCTGCAAACGAGCAATCCGTTGCAAGCAAGGACGTGGAACGGTATTAAACTCGCAAGTAGAGGTTCCACTGTATTAGTCTGATTGAAATGCTCAGGCATGTTAGTGGCTTTTTTTATACTCAAAAATATTTTATTACATGTAAATCACACATTGTATATTATGCAAAAAAATAAAAATTAATTTTTAATTTAATTTTAAAACTTGTGTTTTGTTGTCAGAGGTATCAGTGGAGCGCTTCGGCAGAGTATGCTGGTGTTCGGGCTGCAGGTGCGGCGAGCAAGCACCTCCTCAACAAACAGGTGGGGGAGCTGCGCTATGCCCTGGTGAAGCCAACCTCCAGCCAAAACCCACGCACTGTCACCAAGCCCACAGCTCAAAAGAAGGGACAGTTGACCCTTGAAATTTGTGATTAATCCATTCTGGAGTTTGCTGAAATTCAAAATTCCGATTTTCAAAACCATTTTCCCCCAAAAATATGTTTAAAACAAATTAATCGTTCCAATTCCTCGAAATGCTAGCCATGAAAACGTTCTAGTGGTACACTCTGAATCTTATTTAACTACATTAAACCACACAACAACCAAAATTCTGAAAATTCAACATTGTAATCTTTTGAAAAAAACTTTAAATTGATTGAGTTCCAAAAACCCAAAAGTAATTTAAAAAAATTTTTTTTTAAATTTAAATGTACACTTATTTCCCCAAGAAAACAAGGAATAAAGCATAAAACAAAAACTTCACTGGGAGTTGTTATGTATGGAAGAGGGAGGAGGGGAGAGGATGGAAGAGTTATATTTTTGGAAAGGGAACCCCTTCAAGACTTCAGGTCCAAGCCCTTTTCGGGTTATTTCCCTTCTTTGTTTTTTATGTCACTGGGTCCCCCTTTGGGTCAGGGACCAGTCCTAAAATTGTTCGAAAAAGGTCGGTTTTGGGGTTTTTTTTAAAAATTTTGCTTAAAATGGACAAGAGTTGTATTAAACATGTGCATACACGGCCTGCAAAGCTTTGTCGGGGGTTTCCCCCACAAATCTTTCCATCTTAGTCCACATTCCCATATCTCCTTAATCTCTAAAAAAGCAACTTTTTCCCCTCTCTTTTCCCCTCCTCCTCTGCAGCAATTTCCTGAGCTGTGGTTGTTGCTGTTGCAGTTAAAGGTCTGCAGCTCTTCAGGGGGTTAGCTTTTCACTGTGGTCTCCCAACTCTTCCATCCCCCCCATACCTCCAACCCCCCGTGACCCCCCAGTGCCACAATAGACCACAAGGGATAGGGTTGTCAGGGTCACCCTAAAACCCCTTCAAAATCTTGTCGAAAACTTTCGGGCCCATTTTTCCCCAAACGGGTTTAAATTCATCCTGGAAGTATTCCTCCCAAGCCTTTTACTTTAAGGTTTTTGCAATGGGGTATTGAAGTGATCTTTCCAGAACTCTCTTTGGGTCAATTTTAGAGTCCAAGGGGTTTTTAACCCTTTGGGGGCCGTGCCGTAGATCTACGGGTTTTTCGTTGAGGGGCCAAAACCCTAATCTATAACTGAGCCCGCTCACTCTGATAAGCTGTGAGCGGTAAATTTTGGCTTTTTATGAGAGAATACTCTTGGGTTGTGTGCAACATAAAAAAAAATCCTGCGCCATAGTGCATAATGAGAGGAAAAAAACTGAGATCGTAATTTTTTGTTTTAAAAAAGCGACTTTGCAGTGTTTTTTTTGTTGTTTTTTTTATGTGTATTGCGATTTCTTGGGTTTATTTGATGAAAGGAAAATATATTATAGAAATAAAAAATGATTTTTTGGTTTCAGTATGGAAATTTTTGGTTGAAACTGAGCTCAAAGTGGCGGAAATGTTAAATTTTTGCCGATGTTCAAGAGTAAACAAATGACCTCACACATCTAATACACGCCAGCTGGTGGATCTATATAGTTCACAAATGTGCTGATATTCTTTATACAATTATTACAATATTGCATAACAGTAAATCTTTTTTTTTTGGTTTGAATAAAAATTCATTATGTGAATAAAAAATAAAATGGAATTCATTAGTAAAGCCTGAAAACATAACTAATGAACAGAGGAAATGTTAATTTAGTGCCAGGAATACCTGCATTGTTTATTCTGGACCCTATTTTGAAATTGGAAATACTTTGAACTTTGCAATAAATTGGCCAAATTACCAATTTCCGATCACTTTATTTTGTAGTTGAAATAGTTGACTTGGCGAATTCTTGTGCTCAATCGACAGAATATAAGTAATACTAGTGAAATAGCTAAGAATTTGGCTGACTGGAATAATGTAATTGGCCTAAAATGGGAGTCAAAGTCCGTTAAAATCGCGATGCGTAAATATGGCTGACACGTCAAAATTCGCGAGAGCATAATTTCGTCAATTTTCCATCAAATTTCGTACTTTTTGTTTTATTACCATTCAGAAAAGATTCTCTACCATTTATAGAAAAAACAAAATTATTTTTTGAAAATTCTTGGACATGGTGCACCCTTTGAAATTTGGCCTCTGGACCCTGAAAGGGTTTAAAGCACTTTGAAACATAGCTTTGGTGTAGAGTTTTTTGAAGTTTGAAATGATCTGCTGGTCCATGAGCTGGAGGAGAGGAGTGGTATTAGAGGGCAAGAACTTCCTTGTGATGAAATTAAACTCCTTCACCATTTGCTCTTCCAAGTCTGGAGGATGAGCAGGAGCAATGTCCATTATCGGGAGGCATTTCATACGACTACTGATTTTCTAAGCCAAAATCATAAAAATCAAGCCAATATTTTGATGAAAAAGTTGCCGATTTCCAAAATTCGCGATATGTATTTAAAAAATACAGGTGCTCCTCGACTTACAGTGGTGCAACTTAATGATTTACTTACCTTTATATTCATATTTGACTTACAATATTTCAACTTACGATGGGTTCATCGGAATGTAACCCAATTGTAACTCGAGGAGCACCTGTAATTTCATCAGTTTCAGCACTAGACAAGATTCATATAGCATGATTACTGTACTTGTGTTCCTGCTTTTGTAGGAGTCAAGTCCCTGGGCAAGTGTCAGCAGTGGAGCTGGCAGTGAGGCAGTGTGGGGGCAAGTGCAGGTGGCCGTCCAGTACCAGGTGACAGGCACCTGGCAGGCACGGATAAAGGTGGTCCTCCTCCGAGTCAGAGTGTCCTCATCAGTAAGGTCAGCTGGTCTCTCGTATATCTATTAAAACAGATATAAAAAAATCAGTTTAACAGAAGATTATGTAACTCATAAATAGGGAAACATCACAGATAGAAGCATGGGAGAAATGTTCAAAGCAATGAACACGTCAGACAGTCGAGCAAGTACTAGCTGAACACTTCATTAGTAGACATTCCTAATACACACACTTCAGTTACGCAATATTTTTCTGAAGATCTTCCCTTATTATAGCTTTGATTAATCATGATGAGCTTTTACTGAGGCCCATTCCCATTGTTTCTTGGCATTTTATGTAACCACTTCTCATATTCCTTGACCCATGATTACATTAAATAGAAATCTAGTCATATAATTTTATTCAAATGGGCTTTGGTTGGATATTTCATGAGAACGATTCTATTGCCTTTCTGTAACATTCACTCATGAATGCACAAAAGTTTACCATATTGGAGCAATATTTTGAAATATGTTTCTGAATCTCAAATGTTACCCTTATCTAAAAATACTGTTAATGCTGTTTTTATAATACTAACGGAATTAGCATTAATCTTTTGTTGAAAAATCTCTGGGAAATTATTAATACTAACAAATTTTTGACTTACTGTAAAGGGTTCAGTAAGTGTAGTGCTAATTGCAAAATCAGAGAAAATTTGATTTTTATAAGCTCTCCTCACTTAACAAACGAAGTTCCATTCCTAAGACCACGATGGTAATTGATTTCGTTGTGCTATGTGAGGGAATATATATATTGGTTGTGGGTTTGTGTCAACATATTGATATTGTTTTAATGTCACCTTTGCACATTTATAATTTTTTTAGTATATTTTTAAATGTTTTATTTATTCGTTGTATTACTGTATATTGTATAAACAGAACAGAGGAAATCAGCTCTTATATACATTATTTAGGTATGCATACTGGTTTAGAGAGCCGTCGTAAAATCTGGATCATTGGTAAACAAGTACGTCGCTAAGGGACGAGAGGCTGTTAATAGTATGGTTTAGGCTACAATCCTCCAAGGCAAAAATCCCAATTTTTTGGCAAATTAAAATAACAAACATTTACACCACTGTGCCGTGTCATGTAAAATATACAATTACTGCACATTTAATACATGAACAATGAAATTAATAAAAATGGAATATTCAATTGTTTATTACTGCTGTTACTTTTATTTTTTTAAGCCACATAATCAATTGATCTTTCAAAAACATTGAGGGACACTTCATGTGCACAATGGCGGCCACATTTTTTTTTTTACCACCAGCCATATCAACATACCACGGTAGGGTGACCAACACATTCACAATCATTCATTCAATAGCTGTCTTGCCAGAGGCTTACACACACAGTTCACAATCTGATGGCCATCTGAACTATAAACTTCTTACCCCTCCTTCAGTGTACAGCACTGTACTTCCCAAACTCCGGGCTCAAGTCACTAACCAGTTACATGCTTCCCTTCATTATGAACCTTGCTCACACTACCAGCATTAAAACATTTATAGATTTGGATAAAATAAAAACTGAGGGGGTGTAAAAATACTTTACAAACAAATTTCATATATAGTAACTATTTTAATTAATCTGAAAATAGGGTGCACCACATGTACTAGATATGTACCACGATATTGCATTTGTGAGTGAGAATAAGTAAATGTGAGCAATAGTAATTGTAAATGTGTAGAATGTGTAATAAAAACAATTTTATTATGGGGTTTGTGAGGATGTTTTATCAGGGAACAACAGTATTACAAAATGGGAACAAGCAGCTATTACAAAACAGGAAAGAACAGTTATATGAACTTAGAAAACAGTCTATACTAAAGGGACAAGAGAACAGGGGAATATCTGCTATACAAAACAAAGCGGAACAAGTGATTTGGGTATAAAGTTATAATAACTGGGGAACTAACAGACAGGGAAATTGCAGCTATACAAACAGGAACAGCTATACAAAAGGGAGCACCTATACAAAGAGGGATAACAGCATAAACATTAGGGAAACAGCACCTTTACGAACAGGGAAAAAAAACAGGCTATAAGTGGGCATGTTGGGCTGAGCACACAGAACAATGTGATGGTGATTGCTATATGGTACTATCGACCTAACATTGTTGGGGGGAGGAAGCGAAGAGTTCAAGTTGGGATGGGGTGGTAAGTGAAGGTGAGGAGACTTTTGCTGTACACCACACCATGCCCACACCTGGTCCATCCCCAAGTCGGGAACACTCCTTTCATCTTCGACGTGGCCCGGACAAGTCAGTACTGTACGCTTCAAGAGTAAACGATTTCGTCAAGGTCATTCCACTAGATTAAGGGTCACCAGTGGCATGTACTCAGGTTGTGTTCAGTGTTCATAGTAAGCTATGATACAGTTTGGGCCCACTTATATGGCAAGGTTAGGTTCCAGGCTATTGCGCTAAAGCAAAAATCGCGTAAAGTGGACACCCTTTTTTCCCTTAATAAAATGCATCTAGATAAAAGGTTTACAATAACATCATTTATTAAGTTAGCAACAGAACTAGGCATCAGAAACAATAAAAAAGTAAAATACACACATAATATTAATTACTTCCTTAAAATATTTGTAGTCTTAATGTAGGGTCAGAGGTGTGTAAACGAGATAAAACGAATAAATGAGGAGAGAGAGAATGAGGAGGTCAGGTGTAGACGTTATGTAAAAAACCAGGCCAAAATTTAAGTTTTGCATAACACGAAGTGTACATGTCCGGTTTTTTTTGTTTGGGTACATGTATTAACATTGGTACACAAGTTGTCTCTACATGTTTCGGTAGAATATATAAGAAGAGACACTCCCATTTCATTGTAACACCATTTTGAAGAAAAGCATTTGAGTGAAGCAATGGAAGTCACTCCATTGATTTTTTATGGGTTATCCGAGGTTCTCTACAACATGCTGTTATGTATGATAATCTATGTAAACTGTATTTGTGTTATACCTGTATAAAACTTACTACATACGATATTGGCAGTTGGAGGGATATGGTGTGTATCTTTATACGTATTATGCTTTCCTAAAACTGTTGTATTCTGAGCACCTCTGCCAAAACAGTGATTAATGTGTGTGAGTGTGTGAAAGGTTGAATGATGATGAAAGTATATTCTTTTTGGGGATTTTCTTTCTTTTTTGGGTCACCTGCTCGGTGGGAGAGAGACGGCGCAATGTTGAAAAAAAAAAAAAATCGATATGATAGGTCTGTGGATAGGCGGAGCAATGTGGCAGATGTTGCAAGTATATGGAATAGGTGGTAAGTTACTAATGCTGTAAAGGAGTTTTGTATGAGATAGTGAGGCTCAGGTTTGGGTGTGTAGAGATGAGGGAGATTTTTTCCACGGTAAAAGTAGGTCTTAGGAAAGGGATGTGTATCGTCCCATGGTTGTTTAATATATTTATAGATGGAGTTGTAAAAAGAAGTATTGCTAGGGTGTTAGGGGAGAGGGGTGAGTAAATTATCGGGGAATTATACAAAATGGGAATTGACACAGTTGCTTTTTGCTGATGGATTACTGTGCTATGGGAGATTCTAAAGAAAAATTGCAAAGGTTAGTGGACGATTTTGGGAGTGTGTGTACAGGTACAAAGTTGAAAGTGTCTTAGAGAAGAGTAGGTGATGTGGGTAATCAAATGATTTAGAACCCCCTCCCAATTGGATATCAATGGGAGTGAGGATTAGTATGGAAATTGAATGTGATGTTTTCAGATTTTTTGGGAGTTGACGTGTCAGAGAATGGATTTATGAAGGATGAGGTTAAATTATAGATATTGATGAGGAAAAAAGGTGATTGGTTGCATTGGGGTATATGTGGAGACAAAAAACATTTCTATGGAGCGCATAAGAAGGGAATATATGAATAAGTATAGTAGTACCAACACTCTTTATGGGTGTGAAGCTTGCTGTTTGTGAATACTGCAGCGAGGAGGCGGGTTGGAGGCAGTGGAGATGTCCTGTCTAAGGGCAAGTGTGGTGCTATAATATTATTGCAGAAATTCAGTGTGTTGGGAAATTAGGAGAAGGTGAGGAATAATAAATGTGTTATAAGAGAAGCTGAAGTGGGTTTGTTGAGGTGTTTGGTCATTTAGAGAGAATGGTTTCCAAGTGAAATTACATGGAGGGCATTTAAACTGATAGGGGATGGAAGGGCGGGGTAAGGGTCACGTACTTGAGAAGTTTGGAAGGAAGGGGCCGGGAGGTTTTGTAGGGCGAGGGGTTGGACTTCCAGTGGAGTTTTGCGTGATCATGTTCGATAGGCAGTGAATGGAGGAATGGTTATTTGGGACCTCCTGGCGATCTGTGGAGTGTGAAGCAGGGTATATTTAGTGAAGGGATTCAGGGAATAACCGGTTTTTTATATAGCCGGTCTCGGAGGCCTGGAAATGGGAAGTACAATACCTGTCCACTCTAAAGGAGGGGTTTGGGATATTGACAGTTTGGAAGGGATTATGTTGGTAGTATCTTTAAACTTATATGCTTCTAAGAGTTGTGTTCTGTGCACCTCTGCGAAACAGTGATTATGTTCGTGAGTGAGGTAAGAGTTGAATGATGATGAAAGTATTTATCTTTTGGGCGGATTTTTTCTTTCTTTTTTGGGTCACCTGCTCGGTGGGATGACGGCCATCTTAGTTTAAAAAAAAAAAAAGATACGAAACTGAATAATTTTCTACAATTACCCCAGTAACACATTTTCTCTGATGTATGGACTAGAGAAAAATGTTTTTCTTGCCATCACTCGTAAAAGTCTGGCTACGACATCTCATATTTAATGTTTTATTCTATTGTGGGGTGTATTTACAATGTTATGCAATTATGTTATTATATTTTTTGAAAAATATATCAAGATGGATTAATGAAAAATATGTTTTGAACTTTTTATATAGACATTTAATGAGGACCTCGGTGATTATTATCATTACTATCTGATGTCTCGAGACATAAGACACTGATTTTATAATGTGTACCTGCTGCCAGGGACATTTTGTAAGTTTTTTAGGTACA